ATTCCTGCTTTAAACACTGAAATTGTTCTAATGATGACATTGTCCTACAGGTCCATGTTACCATGTTGAATATTCATCACCTGGTCACATAAAATGGCCTGCAAGGACACCATGTGCTTTTCATAGAAGTCATTGGGTTTGCATTTAATAGACAGTCACCTATACTTGACTTTGGAATTGAAGTCAGCTAGAGTCTAGACAGCAGACAAAGTCATTTACAATGGGTAAAGTAATTTCTACCCTCAGGGAAAAAACAACAAAACCGAACATTACTGGTAAAGCTTTGTGAGTCCTACTTATTTCAAAGAACACAAATCGATCTGTCTCCCTAAAGTTCTCTCTGCCTATTCTGCTAGGTTGACCTACTGATCGATCCTTCAATGCTCAACTCAAATGCCACTTTTTCTTGTAAGTTTTCTCTGCTGCCTTTTGCTGGAAGGGGCCCTCATGTGTTCTTTTAGTGTTTTGTATTCTTCATATGCACTTCTGCATGTATATTTATTAAATATCTACAGTGTACAAACCACTGGAGACAAAAAGGCAAAAATAAATTAGTTCCTGGCCTCAAGAAATCGAGAGTTTAACTTTTTGCCCCGTAAGTCAAGCCCAGGAAGATAAACCTTCTCTAGGAAGGAAGCAACATGTGTCCAAATAAGTAAATACAAAATATATGCAAAGTAAACGTATTGGCAGCACAGGGAAGAGGAATAACCTGAAAGATCATTTCAACTATCCTTGAAGGGAACTAGGTGTTCCAAGAGGCAGAAGTGATAAGGAAATCATTCGATGTTGTGGTATAGCTTGTGTAAAAGCACGAAGGGGATTAAGATGGAATGATGAGATGGAGAATAGTAAACAGGCTAGTTTACCTGGATCATAGAATGCATGATGGAAAGCCTTGTGAAATCATTCAAAAAGAATGAACAGTGGGGTTACTATTTAATCCTGAGGCAACAGGAAGCAACTAGACTTTCTTAAGTAGGGAACTTATGCAAAAAAAGAGGGGGTCATGCCACATCTTTCCTTATCCTTTCAATCCAGAATCACAAAGATGAAGGAAAAAACAAAAGAAAAGGTCATATTAAATTCCATCTATGATATAAACATGGCTTTGATACTTAAGCCACGTAGAGTTGAAACAGAGAAAGAGAACTATAGACTGATAACGCTAATACATATTAATGCAAATTTATACAAAAATAAAGTATTAACAAGGAGACTATAGCAACATATCACAAAAATTATACCCTGTGACTGGATTTTTGCTAGGAATTCAGGGCTATTTAAATTAAAATAACAAAACTGAACATGTAATTGTCCATTTTAACAAAAACAACAAAAATCAAATATTATATAAATAGACACAGAAAAAGCTTTTGACAAAATATAATACCCATTCCTGTTGAAAACACTAGCCACTAGCAAACATAATAATAAATGGCTCTTTCCTTAATGTGATAATGTAATAATGTGATCTAAAATCAAGAGCCAGCATTATCTGTAATAGGGAAAAACTAGAGACTTTTTCAATAAAATCAGAGGTAAATCAAGGATGTACATTATCACCATTGCTACTCAAGACAGCGCTACAAAAGCTAGCTATAGCAATAAAAGAAGAAAAAGAAATTGATGGAATAAATCTAGGCAAAGAGGAAAGAATATGATCACTTTTTACAGGAGATATAAATGGTTTATTTAGAGAATCCTGAAGAGTCAACTAAAAAGCTAATTAAAACATTTAACAACTTCAGCAAAGTTTCAGGACATAAACTCAAATACATTGTTAAGTATTTCTGAATATTACCAAGAAAATCCAACAAGGAGATATGGAAAGAGAAATTCTAGTTAAAAAACTATAGCATATGTGTGTGTGTGTGTGTGTGTGTGTGTGTGTATGTGTGTATAAATACTTGAGAATCTACCAGTTAAAGTACACATAAGAACTAAATGACAATTATAAAACACTGTTTATACAAAAAAAGCTCTAAATAAATGAAGTATCAATTACTCATGGATAGACTGAGCAAATATAATAATAATAATAATGATAATACAATCTAAATTAGTTTACTTATTCAATGCCATACTTGTCAAACTATTAAGGGATTCTTTCATAGAGCTAGAAAAAATAATAATAAAATTCATCTGGGGGAACAAAAGGTCAAATCTCAAGAATACCAGATCTCAAACTATACCACAAAGTAGTAAGCATCGAAACAATTTGGTACCAGTTGAAAAATAGAGTGGTTGATAAATGGAACAGATTATATTAATATAATTAATGGAACATTACATATTGAAGCACAGTAGCAAACAAGCCCTTGTCAAACCCAAAGATTGCAACTGTTGGGACAAGGACTCACCAATCAAAAAAAAAATGTTGGGGAAACTGGAATGGAGTCTGAAAGAAACTAGGTTTAGGCCAGAATTTCATACCATACACCAAGATAAGCTCCTAATTGGTATATGACTCAGATATAAAGTATAAATCATAAACAAATTAAAGGAGTAGGAAGAAATTGCATTTTATAAAAATGAGGAAGAGTTCATGACCAAGGAAGGAATAGAGGGGATCAGAGAAGATAAAGTATATGATTTTGACTGCATCAAGTTTTTGCAGAAAGAAAACCAATACAGCTAAAATTAGAAACAGTTATGGAGGGAATAAATCCTTAGCAGCAAGTTTCTCTGAAAAAGGTTGCATTTCCAAGTTTATAAGGAACTGATTCAAATATATGAGAACAAGAGCCATTCCCTGACTGATAAATGGTCAAAGGACACATAAAGGTAGCTTTTAGAATGAGGATTCCAAGCCATCAATAGCCACATAAAAATGCTCCAATTCACTAATAATTAGAGAAATGCAAACCAAAACAATTCTGAGGTATCATCTCATACCCATCGGACTGATAGCACTGACCAAAAGGAAAAAAATGCACTTTCAGGGGATGAGGAAGGATAATCACATTTATGCATTATTGGTAGAGCTGTGAATTGATCCAGCCATTCTGGAAAACAATCTGGAACCATGTCCAAACAGTTACTAAACTGTACACACCCTTGGACCCTGCAGTAGCACGATTAGATCTATATACCAAAGCGATCAAATAAAGAGAAAAGGAACCCAATTACATAAAAACTTGGCAAAGACCTGAAATATTAGGGGTTTACTATCAATCAGGAAATGACTAAGCAAATTATGATATATGAATGTAAAGGAAAGGGACAGTGTTAAAAAAAAAACTTGGGAAGAATTGCGAGACCTGATACACAGCAAAATTAGTAGAACCAACAGAACGATTTATTCTATAACATCATATTGTAAAAAAATGAAAAAGAATTGAAAGAAGATCTCTTCTTAATGCAGTAATTAATTATGATGACAGAGAATTGATGAAGTCGTATGCTACTCACTTCCTAATAGATCATTGAAGGACTTTGGATGCAGAATGAGACATATTTTTGGACTTGGCCAATGTGGGAATTTATTTTGCTTAACTATGCTTATTTGTTACAAGTATTTTTGTTTTGTTTTGTTTTCATTTGTGGGGGGAGGGGTGGGAAGGAAAGAAAATGAATGCTAGTTGACTTTTTAAAAAGTTAAAAATAATATTTTCAAAAGAAACCCCTAGTGTGAAGGCCATCACTTCCCATGGGAGCCCATTCTATTTATTAATAGTTCCTCACGTCAAGCCTGAATTTGCTTCTGTACAACTTTCACCAGTTGTTCCGTGTTCTACTCTCTGACCTTTTGTGGGAGAACCTGAATGAGGGACCATGTTCTACTTATTCAGAAGGAGTCTAATCCTTCTTCCATATGACAATATTTTCAGACACTTGAAGAAGGCTGTCATTTTCCCTTCCTGTTGTCTCTTCTTCATCCTAAACATCCCCATTTCCTTGAACTGATCCTCTTATGACATTGTGTCTACTCATCAATGCCCTTTTAAAATTGTGACACATTATTAAGCATAATACTCTGAAGGTGGAGTATTGCTCATGGTATGGAGCAATGGGGATTATTACCTCCCACATTCTATATATTATGCTGCTCAAAATAGCTTAAAACCATTCCTTTTTTTTAAACCATTATTTCATATGATTTTTATTGAGCTTATAATCTACTAAATTCTTCAGATATTTTTCATATTAACTTTTACCTTACCCAGTGTATATAGTTGCAAAGTTGGGGTTTTTTGTAAGCTAAATGTGATACTTTACTTTTATCTTCATTAGATTTCACCTTCAGCACATTTTCTAACCTTTGAAGTTTACTTTGGATTCTAATTCCTGTATCTGCTGCATTAGCTATCCCTCCTAGCTTTCTTTATCTGAAAATCTGATAATTTTGTTTTTACCCAAGTCACTGATAATGTCAGATAACATAGGACTGAAGACAGATCCTTGGGGACAGACCAATAGAGACTTCTCCCTGAGCTTACATTAATCATCTGATAACTCCTCTTCAGTCAGTTATGAATTGACCTAACGGTAGTAATGTCTTTTACCTGGCATCACTCCATCTTGCCTGAGAGATTTTGTCAAATGCTCTGCTAAAGATCTAAGTAAACTGTGTTTATAGCATTCTCTTGATCTTTTGTCAACTTTGTATAAAAAAAAGTTTGCCTGGAATGACCTGTTTTTGATGAAACTGTACTGTCTCTTAGCGATTACTACTTCCCTTTCTAAATATTGACAAACCATCCCTCTAGTAACATTATCTGTAATTTCTGCATCTCACTACGTCCATCTATCAAAGTCAGAAAATACCTAACAAGGGTGCTAGAGATATACTTCTTATTTCCAGAATGCTTTCTGAATTCTTACAGAAAAGGGGTCATATAAGCACAAAAATTCAATACATTTTCTTGCAAAATGTTTCTAATATATTCTAATAGTTTAAATATGGCAAAAATTAAAATCAGATTGTTTCTGTATAATATGTAACATCAGTATCTTACATGCAGTGCCCTGTTTAACAATGGTATATTGCCTTATAGACTATGGAAAGCTTTAATTCTGCAAGATCTCAAGAGAGACTTGGATGTGATGATATCCTGGAACTGATGTCTGATGAAAGGTAAATTGAAAAGTTCATGAGACCATGAGTAAGTTTTTGTAGGCTTAAAAACTTTCTTTCTCTCTTTATCTCTCTCTCTCTGTCTATCTCTCTCTCTCAGACATATTTTGTATAATATATTATATATTTATTTTATATAATATAATATTTAATATATTAAAATATTTATTTTCTGACATAAAAGAATCCAAATGAGGGTTAAAGAAAATAAATCATTTTAACAAAACCAGGAGAAACATGTAGATAATGACTACAACAGTGTAAATGAAAAGATCACTAAAAAGAAATCAAACCCTGAGTAATTAAAAAAAACAATATTGAAATATAGAGCTGAGATAATTCTCAGGTACAATGTTACATACACTGTCATATATCTTTACTATGTCCACTGTTTTACTTAAATGTTTTTCTTTATTACCAGGGAAGAATACTATATCTAGAAATGACTGTAATATAAAAATAAAAGGCTTGATAGAATCTTATTTTTAAAAAATTAGTTGGACAGCTAGGTGGTGCAGTGGATAGAGTCCCGGTCCAGAAATCAGGAGGACCAGAGTTCAAATCCAACCTCAGACACATAACACTCACTAGCTGTGTGATTAAGGGCAAGTCACTCAACCCCATGGCCTAGCCAAAAAATAAATAAATAGTCAATCGATCATTTTAAACAAAGAAATAGACTTGGACTCCATTTGTCTCTCACTGGCACCTTTTGTGGACAGGCAGATGTTTGTGCATGGGTGAAGGAACTGCTCTTTCCCAGCAACAATAGTTCAAGTTGTAAGTATCTTCTCTTTTTAAAAACTATTCAAGTTGGCTACCACATAGAAATGTAAGTGCACCAGAAGTCTGAAATGGAAAAAAAAAATCATAGTGAGGAAAGGGTGAGAAATGTTGTAATAAAACAAATTGCCTTGGCTTTATGTAACGTGTATTTGTTTGTTTTTTAGCAAAGAAAACAGCAGTGATGGGAAATACCCACAGCATTCTCAGGTCAGTATCCTATTGCTTTATATATTGTGTATCAGTGTGAGATATAGCAATTGCGCCATGATTGGCCACAAGATCAGCTCTGAGATAGGTATACTTTAAGAAGGCCCCTTAAGAGACATTCAAGATTCTTTTATTTGTAGATATATAATAAATGCTTATTGAAGAAATGAGTGAATGAAGTACAGTGGACTTAACATTAATTCGGGAGTCAGAGGACCTTCACTTAAATCCCACTTACTACTGGTGTGAGTTTGGGTGATTCACTTAATTTCCCTGGGCCTCAGCATCCCCACCTGAAAAATGAGGAGATTATTCTAAAGGATCTTTAAGGTTCCACACAACTTTAGAAATATGAATGAATGAATGAATGAATGAATATTTCTAGTAGATATAATATTGAGCAACAGGGAGACTTCTTATTGGCTTTCATACTACGTGCTAAATGGGCTTACAATTCTATTATGTCTTTCTATTTCCCTTTTCCATCTTTGTTTCTCAAAAAAATAGAATGTTTTTAATTTTCAATGGTTTCTCCTAAGTCTGAAAAAATGGTATTTAGCAGAACACTCGTGTTAATCTTATAGGTTATTCAGGACAAGCAGAACAGACACCCAAGTTCTTAAATATTTTCTTGAAGTCACATTGCAGATCTCATTAATACAGGCATCACTTGCTCAATATGATGACAGCAATACTCATCTCCATAGCACTTTTAAGTCTTTCAAAGTGCTTTCCTCCTCCCAGCATTAATAAGGTTGTGTAAGTGTTATCCCCATTTTACAGATGAGAAAACTAAGTCTCAGAGAAATAAAGTAATTTGTACGAGGTCATGAAGATATGAAGACAGCTGGTGATAGAAAGGAGGCAGATTGGTAATGCTTAGGAGACTGGTACTTCTCTTAACTAGGCTGTATAACTTCTATTTATTTTATCAAAAAGTAACTAGTTTTTCTCTCAATAAGTGACTTTAAAAGATATGCTACATGGGGGCAGCTAGGTGGCGCAGTGAATAGAGCCTGGGCCCTGGAGTCAAGAGGACCTGAGTTCAAAACCAGCCTCAGGCACTTGACACTTAGTAGCTGTTTGACCCTGGGCAAGTCACTTAACCTCAGTTGCCTCGCTTAAAAAAAAAAAAGCTATGCTGCATTCTTAATTGTGTTTTTATTTACACTGGGAACCCAGATTTTTCTAATAAATGTCATCCTCAATTTTGGAGAGAAAGTGACTTAATTCACTTTGTTGCAAATTTTCCTGAAACACATGGGTTCTATTAAGTGACAAACACTAATACAAGAAATATGAGTGGTTTAGATCCCCTAGTTCCAAGAAGTTTTTTTATTGGAGGACTTCTTGGATCAAAAGAAAGATGGTGGCAAAATCCACTAGTCTTCCAGTTTCTCTATATTGAAAAGGATTAGAGTGCTGTGCAGTGGTTTTTGAGTTCTGGCCCTGCCTCTTACTACATCAACTGGGTAAGGCCTTCACCCTCTTTGAGCCTCACATTCATCATATATTAAAAATGAGAATAACAACATATTCTCTACCTAACTTACAGAATTTACTTCAGATGAAGTGAGATGTATGTAAAGTGTTTTGTAAGCTGTAAGCCACTATACAAATAAGAAGTCATATGCATAAGGGATAGAAGGCCTGCCTCAGAGTCAGAAAGATGTGACTTAAAGTTCTTACTCTGATACAGCCTGGCTGTGTGATGCTGAACCTAATCAATAATTTAAAACCATAAGTTGTAGAAAAGTTACTGACCTAAGTTGGTAGAGGGAGTTCCCTACACCAACATTGTAGGTCTAGATTGAGATAGAAAGATAGAAAGATAGATAGATAGATAGATAGATAGATAGACAGACAGACAGACAGACAGACAGACAGACAGACATGGTCACAGAGAGAAAGAAGATAAGTAGACAAATGGTCAGAGGGAGAGAGAGTGAGAAAGAGAGAGACAGAGACAAATGATCACAGAGACACACACAGAGAAAGGAAGGCAGATAGAGAGGGCCACAGGAAGAGAGATGGAGGGGGATGAAGGGGGTCATAGAGAGATTGATAGAGACAGACAGACAGAGAGACAGATGGTCACAGAGAGAAAGAAGATAGGTAGACAAATGGTCATAGAGAGAGACATGGTCACAGAGAGAGAGAGAGACAGACAGACAGTTAGATGGATGGTCACAGAGACACACACAGAGATTGAAAGGAAGACAAAAAGAGAGTCACCAAAAGGGAAAGAGAGAGGGAGGGGAAAATGGTCACAGACAGACAGATGGATGGACAGATGGACGGACGGATGGATGGATGGATGGACAGCTAAATGGTCACAGAGAGATAGACAGATAGACAGACAGAAAGACAGATGACGGATGGATGGACAGCCAGATAAGTAGAGACAGACAGACAGACAGCTAGATGGTCACAGACAGACAGACAGACATAGATAGATGGATGGATGGATGGATGGATGGATGGATGGATGGATGGATGGACATATAGATAGGTAGAGACAGACAGACAGCTAGATGGTCACAGAGAGATAGATAGACAGCTATGAGCCATTACCATTAGCTTTGTATTTGTACCTGGATCTCAAACCTTGAGATCTTAATTTCTAAGAATTCTTCCCTTAGAAGAGAAAAACTTAACCTTTTCAGTTTATTCAACAATTATTTATTAAGTGCCTACTACGTGCCTGGCATTATGCTAAGCAGTGGGAATCTGGAGATTAAAAAAAAAAAACAGTCCCTAACCTGAAAGAGCTTACATTCTATTGCTTGGGAAAATGTTCAAGTAGAAAATTAAATACAAATTGTGTCCAAAGTAATTTCTGGGGAGAAGGCACTAGCAACTTGGGAAATCAAAATAGGCTCCCAGTAGGAGGTGGCACATGAACGAGTTTTTCGAGAAGCTAGGGATTCTAGGAGGCAGAAGCGAGGTGAGCATGCCTTCTAGGCATGAGGAATAGCTTGTACCAGGGCTCCAAAATGGTAGGTGGAGTATCATGTGCAGGGACCCCAAGCAGGTCGGTGTGGCTGAAATGACAAGTGCATAAGGAAGCAAATGTGCACTAGTACTAGAAAAGCATACTGAAGGCAGATCATGAAGGCCATTCAAAGCCAGAGGAGTTTGTATTTTATCCTAGAATTAATAGGAGACCATTAAAGCTCCTTGAAAAGGAGTGTGAAGTAGAACCTATGTCATATTGCTTGCTTTTTAAATGAGGGAGGAGGGAAAGAATTAGAACTCAAAATTTTTAAAAATGAATATTAAAAATTGTTTTTACAGGTAGTTGGGGAGGAAACAAAATATTTAAGAAAAATAGAAAAAAAAACAGAAAAGAAAAGGAGTGTGACATGGTCAGATTTGTGGTTTAAGGATATCATGTTGATGGAGAATGGATTGAGAAGGAGAATCAGTAGAGAGTAGGCAACCAGTTAGTTCAGGTGATAGGCAAAAGTTGCAGAGGGTAAGGTAGAATTGAGAAGGCTTGGCAACTGTTTTGGATGTGAGAGGCAAGACAAGGCAGAGAGAAGAATCAAGGACAATTCCAAGGTTGGAAACCTGGAAAACCAGAAGGACAGTGGTGCCCCCAGTAGAAATTTGGAGGTTTGGACAAGAGGAGAGTTTTCGAGGAAATGAATATTTTTCAGATGCTGTAAAAAAGTCAAGAAGCAGAAAGGATTGAGAAAAGTCCATTGGATATTAATAAATCATTGGTCTTCTTAGAGAGGTTGAGAAAGGTCCATTGGAAATTAATAAATCTTTTACATGTAATTGGAAAAAAATATTAAATAAATAATTTAAAATATATGGAAGGAAATTAATAAATCATTGGTATTCTTAGGGAGATTAGTTTAGTTAGAGTAGTTAGTTAGTTAATTATATTAGCTCAGTTGATGATGAGGTCAGAAGCCAGATTGCAAAGGATTGAGAAGTGAGTAGGTGAAAAGGTAGAGGAAACAAGGGTGGACAGCTATTTTTAAAGCATTTAGTTGTGAAAGAGAAGAGAGAGCTAGGGCAGCAGCTGCAGAAAATGGTAGAATCAAATGAAGAGGGATTTTGTTGTTTGTTTGTTTTTAGAGAATGAATGTCATCTGAGTACGTTTGTAGGCAATACAGAAGGTCCCGGTAGAAGGGGAGAGACTGAAAATTCCCTCAGTACAGTTGTTTTGAGATGCATTTGTTTTCCAATATCCCAGACAGATAGTACCAAACTGGCCTCAGCTGTTTCACACACTGAGAATGATAGTCATAGATCTTGAGATGGAAAGGACTTTTAACTGGTATTCCTAGCTTATGCCATCTATTTCTCCCTCCCTCCTCTTTGGGGCCCAGTTAGCATATTGATTTATCCTTCTTTGCCTCTTAAAGGGCAGAATCTCCGCTTTGGCATGGTATTGTTTTATTTTCCATCTGTGTTTTCATTCCTTTATGTGCCCTTTTTCCCTCATGAAAGCATCTACTCATGTCGCTGTGCACTACTTGAAAGAAAATTGCTTAGGCTTTCTTCTCTGGATGGAACTCATCTCAATCCTTTCCTCTTATGCCTGTCATACTTTGTAAGATAGAAGACTATAAAGAAGGATTTTTGGAGGTATTTCATAACATTAATTCACAAATTCCAAAGAAAACAAATCAAAGGCCACATTGAAATAAATCAATTCTAAGAACTCTTGGACAGCTTCCAGTGAAGTCACACACAAGTGAAAAATGGAATTTAGCTTGATTCCCTCTACCAAATAAATTCGCTGTCCTCCAATACAGCTATTAATCAGCAGCACATAGCACAATGTTGACTTACATAAAGACTATTTGGTAATCACCATCATCATAACAATTCAAATGAGAAGATAAACACAAGTACAAAGAATCTGCTGAGCTGACACACTCAGAAAAGCACAACCTGCCAAGATGAGGATGTCTGTCTAATTTTGCCATAGTTTTTACAAGGCATTTACACCCTATAAACATCATATAACTTGACAGGTGATCCTAAAATAATAGGGAATTCCAATCTGTGCTTTAAAAATAAAAACCAAAAGCCCCACCATGTTTCTCTTCTTTCAAGCTCATTTTTTAAAAATTTGTTATTTGGAGTTTTGTGTTTCTAATTTTCCAATTCCAATTTTCTAATCCTCCCCTCTCTCTATTCCCGTAGCTTTTTAAAAAATGGTGCTTCTGGGTGGTTTACTCAGTCAATAAAGCAGTGGATTTGGAGACCAAAGGTTGTATTTTACACACTAGCTCTGTGACCCTGGAAAAGTCACTTAACCTCTCTGCCTTAGTTTCCTCATCTGTAAAATGGATTTTATAGCTTTGAAGGCCCCTTCCTTCTCCGAATCTCTGATCTTATGGTGCAGTGGTTAAAGTGCTTCAAAGAAGGCCTGATTTCAAATCCTGCCTCCCACTTAGTACCTATGTGATCCTCACTGTCACCTAAGTCTTCTTCATCATCTATAAAATGAGGGTGTTGAACTCAGTGGATTCTAAGGTACCTTCTCACTCTAAATCTGTGATTCTATGGAAAGTTAAAGTGGGCAAAGTGGAGAAAATACTTTTTAAAAATCAGCAATTCAAAAGATAATGTTGTGCTACCTAGAAAGAAGTTTTATTCAAAGTAATTCCCCCCAATGGGGCAGCTAGATGGTACAGTAGATGGAGTGCTGGCCCTGAGGTCAGGAGGACCCTAGTTCAAATCCAGCTTCAGACGCTAGCTGTATGACCCTGGGCAAATCACTTAACCCTGCTTGCCTCAGTTTCTTCATCTGCAAAAGGAAATGGTATTATCTTAATGGAGAAAATCCCAGATGGGGCCACCAAGAGTTGAACATGACTGAACAACAATTTCTCCAATGATGTTGATCCCCAGAGTTGAGTTTTGTTTTTAAAATTGTTTTCTCTTTAAACTAGGTTTTTTATAAAGAAATATAAATTCAATACAAATTAGTAATTGTGCAGAAAAGTATTGCCTTAACCAAGAGATCAGATTATATAGCAATGACAAGGTCAAGAAAATGTTAAATTCCTTCAAAAATAGTTTTGCATTCCTTGTCCTTTATAAGCCTATTGCTTAGAGGAGCTTAGAAATATACTTTTGACAACAAATAGGTCATTCATAATAAGAAAAGTACTTTCTTATTTTCTTTTCCTTACCATTCCTTGAAGGGGGTGGGGGAGGAGGATGGGCCTGGATGTTAAAGAGGAAATACAGAAGTTGGTTTTTTTTCCATTAAGAGGAAGAAAAAAATCAATTCACTAATAAAGGATGTCACATGTGTCAAACATTTGATACCTGGGGGTACATTAAACTCGAGAACAGATATCAGTTTGAGTGAAAGACTCTATTATTTCACCTACTAGTTTTTCATACTAAAAACTTTAAAAATTTGCTAGATGATAAGTCATTGAACTTGAAAAAGAAACTACCTTATTTGGATCCATTTCCAAGTCAGTCCAACCTCAAAAGGATCCCAACAACCTTAAATTTCACATGTTTTCTTGAAGTTTGATGTGTTGGAAGCTTATGTGTTTCTCCTTCCTCCAGTCTAACACTTGCCTCTTCTGTTTATGATGAATTGCTACTTCCTGTGCAATTTGCATTACGTTAAATGTTGGGTCTGATTGCATTTTCCTGTCTGATGAATTGTACTTCAGACACTACTCAACATCTACCTCCTGTGAGGTCCTCCCTCCATTGCCTCTTCCGTGATTGGAAGGCTGCAGGGCACAGCCATGAGCTCTTCCAAAAGCCTTTCTTTACTGAAGTCTCGAGGGTTAAGTGAGTTGCCCAGTGCCATACAGTTAATAAGTAGCAGAGCTGGGATTTGAACTCGGGTCCTTTCACTCCAAATTCAACACTTTCCCAATGTCTTTAAATGCCAAACCAAGAAGTTTGTATTTCAGAGTCAACAGGGAACCACTGGAATATCTTGAGCAAGAATGTGGCGTGGTCCGACCTGTCCTTCGGAATATCACTTTGTCAGCAACGTGGAGGCTAGATTATGGTGAAGAGAGATCTAGGGGCAGGAAAGCCAATTAGGAACTTATTGCAATAGAGCTGTTGAGAGACGATGAGGGCCTGAGCCAGGCTGTTGGCTGTGTGAGTGGAAAGAAAAGGCGAAATGGGAAAGATGTGGAGACAGAATCAGCAAGGCTTGAGAAGTGATGGAGGGAGAAGAAATCCCTCAGGTTGGAAACCTCAGTAACTGGAAGGATGATGGTGCCCTGTCCAGAAACAGGGAAGTTAAGAAGGGGTAGATTTAGAGGGAAAGATAATGAAGTTCACTGGAGATGTGCTGAGTTCGAGATGCCAGTCAGGTGGGGATAACCAGCAAGTGGTTGCTAATGCACGACTGGGGCTCAAGAGACAAAGCCGAAGGTTGGCTATACTGGTTAGAGATACTAAATGGGCTCATGGGGAAAGTGTGGAAAGGGTGTAGAGAGAGAAGGGAGCAGATGGGTAATGGTGAGACCAAGAGACAGTTATGTCATGTTTTTGTACCTTAAAGAACTTTTATGTTTATGTCAAAGTATTCTGTTTTAAAGGGCCTATTGTTTTAGTTATCTCAGCTTACTTGTAAGAGGCCGTATAAAATGACGAGAGGTGGGGCTGGAATAAGTAGGAAAGACTTCACGTCTCTGTCTCCCTTTCTCTCTTTCCTTTTGTCTCTCTGTTTCTCTCTTTCTCCTTCTCTCTCTCTGTCTCTCTCTCACACATACATACACACGTGCGCGCGCACACACGCGCACACACACACACGAATTGATGATAGGCTAATTGACTAAAGAACATATTACTTCTCATGAATCACTTCCTGGAAATGTAATAAGAGCCTTTATTCCGATAGCACTGTTGAAATGATTAGATGCTTATTAAGTGTAACTTGTCAAGCAAAGTCATGTTTTATTTTAAATATATGAACATTTATCACACGAGAGTTTTACAGATTTTTTTTAGGGTTTGATTTGATTTTGATCCTTTTATTTAAAGAAATTACCTTAAGAAATCTAATGTATTTTGTTCCTATACAAATATTATTTTTCTTTATGATAATGGTAAGGTAGATGAAATATTCAGGGTATGAATAGTAGTGAAAACAAATGACAATTTCATGTTACAAGATATAAATTATTCATCACTGGCCTGACAGCTCCTTAGTTTTATTAGAAGGGGTTAAAAAAAAAAAGGAAAACAGAAAGACGGCCTCTCTGCAGTTCTGGCTCTTGACCAGATTCTGCACTGCTCCCAGCTGATGCGCCAAACCCCACTACCATTTACATTTGCGCAACATCGCTTTAACCCAGAGCTCCTCCATAAATAGTCCTGTTCTCCCCCACGCCCAGCTAGAAAACAAGCAGAGGAAATCAGAGAATGGGCAGCCTGCAGCTTCGCCGGCACTAATTGAGCTAAGCCTGCCCGGCCTGCGTGAAGGCTTTCTTGTTCCCAGCCTCTGATCTTAGCAGTCCAGGGCTGTTTACCTTAGGGGCAAGCAAGTCGGCTCTGAAAAGAAACCGTGTTGCTACCGCAGCCTTAGCAACAGTGAAAGCGGTTTCTTTTTTTTGTTTGTTTACAATCTAGGGGGAGGCATCCTCCTTTAAGAAACTAGCAAGTCCCTCCCCTCCTCCCTTCCCCCAATCAATATTCATGACTGTCAGCTGCATTCAGCTATCAATATGAGCTGCCTTCCCCTTTAGAAGCTTTGCGTAGTAGCTTTAGAAGGAAGGAAAAGTTCAAGGGAAAGCATATGAGTGCATGATACTCGAGGGCGAGTGACTATAAGTAGCATTTAGGGGCTCTTCAAGCAACGATTTTGATTTGGGCGTTTGCACTCCATGCAGCTGGTGTTTGAAAGCTTTCAAGCCAGAGGGAAGACGTTGCAGGCATCTTTTGGCTTTTCTTGTGCATTTCAGTTTTGCGTGGGTGTTATTGCAGAGCTTCACCATGAAGATTCAGGACCATCCGAGCCTCCCCGACACGAAACTCCAGAGAAACCAAGACGCGGATGTCCAGGAAGATAGCTTTGTCACCGAAATGCCTCAGCTGGACTTGACCACTTTGTGTAATGAGAACAGCTGGGAAGGTACAGTGGCGCGATGTTTTCTTGATTGTTATGGAAATAGCGTGTGCATACCACTGGGGAGGAAAGATGTGACTGCGCTGGCATAAGTGTACTTATGTTCGATTACCTCAAATGATAGAAAATCTCTTCTAGTCTGAATGCAAGAATGTGTCACGGATGATATTTCCCGGTGTAGAATCATCTGCATATTCCGTTTTACTTCTGAGAAATGTTCTTCTGCACGTACTGTGTGGATACTGAGGAAGCAGCCTGCATTTATTTATTCCTTTTATAGTACGGCCTTTTCTCCCTCCCCACATTCCAGTAAATTATTTTCTCATCATCTTTAGACCTCTCACTCCCAGTTGGGGGGGGGGGGGAAAGACCTTTTTTTTTTCTTAACAAATCAAATTTAAATAAAATTCTAAATCAAAATGAAGAAAAAACAGATCTCACTCAGCATTGTTATTTTCCAGTCACCCCTTGCCTTGTGCATCCATGAGAAGAGAACTCCAGATTTTAACAATACTGCAAGACAGAGTAAAAGTATTTAAAGAGAGCAAGGTCACATAATGTAGCGCTTTCCTGAGGAAGGTACTTCTTCCTTCTCTCAAAAAACACATCCCAGTTCTTTTCCCCCATGACTGTCATTTGAGAATGTAGTGGTCTAAAATTCGGTGGTCAAAAAGACTATTTCGTTCCCTTTGCTTCAGTGTTTAATGCACAGATTTTTTTCCCTTTAATTTTACAGGCATCAATTCATCAGATACAGTGCTGAGTTTAAAATTCCTCATTTACGTAATCATAGTAAAATTTTAAAATTTGGTTTTCAAGTGATTATTGATGCTGATATTAAGATTAGACATCAACTCCTTAATTATACATAAACTGTTGGGGAATTTGTGTATGACCATATTTTTTGTGTTGTGGTCAGGGTGTGTGTGTGTGTGTGTGTGTGTGTGTGTGTGTGTGTGTGTGCATGTGTATGTGTGTGCGTGTGTGTGTGCTTGTGTATGTGAGAGACAGAGATAGAAACACAGACTAGAGAGAGAGAGAGAGAGTGAGAGAATTCAGTTTGTATTACATACATTATATATTTAATAGGAAAAAGAAGAGAGGAAAGGTTTAGGCTAGTATTATTCAGAACAATGACCTAGCATAGAGTGATATGTTATAACATGAGTGACAGAGATATGTTACAAATCAAAATTACTTAAAACAGCCCCCTCTCAGTTCTGTGATTCCCTTGTCCAACCTGGAGTACTCCACATGTCTATTATCCTAGAAGACAGAATAAAAGAAAATTTAAAATAAAGCCAGGCCAAGCAGAAAAGCTGCACCACACACATCCTTGATTTCACTGAAGTGGGAGGTGGGAAAGAAAAAAACCCTTCTTACTCTGCCTCTCCTTTTCAGAAACATAGTCTTTCCCTCTTAACCAGTACTCACATCTGAGGTATGATTTTGTCAGCTTCTGACACTTTGAAGATAAAGCTTTTTTTTCAGTTTGTCACTTGGACAGAATCTGAATTCTTTAACCCAGTTAAAACTGCATTTTGTTTAGAAATAATCAGATATGCTTCCTGTCATTTATTTGGCTGAGATGGCAAAATAAAAAACCCAGCAGCAATAGCTTTCCTCTGTAAAAGAGCTAATAAGCACTAAACATTAAACCTTTCAAAACAGACTAAGTCTTGCTTTGGAGTCTCCAAAATGTGATAATCTACCTGTTTCATTAGAATGAAGGAGGCAGGGAGGAAAGCCCTTCTTGGTCATGGGATTTTTTTGTCTCGGTTCCAGATATCAACCAGTGGCTTAATAATTCACCCTGAAGAGAGGAGGGTGTGTGTTTTCGTTTCCCACCTCCTAAACTGGATGCAATTTACCTTGCTCTTATCTTAGGTAAGCATACACTTGTACTATCTTCCAACATAAGGAGAATATGAAATTTTATCCAGAGACGATAAGCTATGATTATCCCCCCAGTGACTATGTCCTTATGCAAAGAGTTTGGGATTATTGCATCATTGGGATCATAGGATCACCACTGTAGACTCTAGAGCTAGAAAGAACACTGAGGCCACCTAAAACAATTTCAGCATTTTACAGATGAGGAAACTAAGGCTCAGAGTGGTTAAGTGACTTGCCCAAGTTAACACAACACAGATTGTAAGAATAAGAGATTCTTGAACCCAATTCCTCTGACTCCAAAACCAGTTTTCTTTTTTTTGCATCCCAATTATTTACATTTTTCCTTTTTAAAAATAAAAATTTCTTGATATTTTACTAATACTTTTTTAGATCACCTAAATTTTTCCTTGTATTTCTCCTCTTTCCTCCCTCAGAGGGCTATCCTTTGTAGCAAATAATTTTTTTTTAACATAAGAAAAAGGGAAGAATAGAAAAATTCAATAAAGCCAAGTAATACATCAAAAAAGTCTGATTGTGTGTATGTGTGTGTGTGTGTGTGTGTGTGTGTGTGTGTGTTCCACACCTATGGAAACATCCTCCTCCCAACTTTGCAAAGGAATTGGAGGAAATATCTTCTCCTATCTCTTCTTTGGGGCCAAATTTGTTCTTTGTAATTTTGCAACATTCTTTTTAAAAAATTATTTTGTAGTTTTTTCCGTTTTCAATGTTACAGTGATTGTGCATTTTTTTTCCTAGTTCTGATTAGTTTGTGCTGTGTAAGTTCATGTAAATATTTCCATGGTTCTCTGTATTCATTATATTCATTATCTCATGAAGCATGGTAATATTCCATTGCATTCATGCGCCATAGTTTGTTTAGACATTCCTGATTCACTTGGCATCTATTTTATTTCTAAAAATATTTTGCTACAAAATATGCTACTACTCTAAATGTTTATTATTATTGTTACAAATAATAACTAGCATTTATATAATGCTTTAAAGTTTGCAAAGTGCTTGACATACATTATCTCATTTTATCTTTGCAACAATCCTTAGAGTGGGTGCTTTTATTATCCACATTTTACAGATGAGGACAATGAGACTTAGAAAGGTCAAGTAACTTTTTCAGGATCGTACAACTAGTAAGTAGTAGAGGCTGAATTTGAACTCAGGCCTTTCTGATTGCAGGTGCAGCACTGCAGCAGCTAGCTGCCTGTTTTGGTGGGTACAGAGCCTTTGTTTTTGTCTGTGACCTCGTTAGGGTATATGTCTAGTTGTGCAATTTCTGAGTCAAAGGTTATGAACATATTAGCTGTCTTATTTGCAGAAATCCAAATTGCTTTACAGAATGATTATACGCAGCTCTGCAAACAGTGCATCAATCAATATGCCTATCTTTTTGCAGTCTCTCCCATACTGACTAGTCTCATTTTTTGTCATATTTGCCAGATTTTTCTGAGTGTGAAGTTAAACCTCAAGATTGTTTTGATTTTCATTTCCATCATTTTTAGTGATTTAAAGCATTTTTCATACGATTGTGAATTACAGTTCTTCTTCTGAGAACTTTATTCATATCCTTTGACTACTTATCTATTGAGGGAATGGCTTTTTGGCTTATTTTTTCTGCAAGTAGTCTATATATCTTAGCTACTTAACCCTTATCTGAGAAATTGAATATGAAGATTTTTTTCCCCTTTCAACATTTTCCCTTCTTATGTTAGATGCATTTTTTCGTTTGTGCAGTTGCTTTTCAGTTGTAACAGATTATGCCTGTTTTATCTTTTGATTCTGTCCCCTGTTTGGCTAAAAATTATTATTGCACTCACAAATATGAAAGGAAGATGATTTCTCTTCTAATTTTTTACATCATCATCTTTAGTAATCGAAGTCATGTATCTATTTTGAATTCATTGAGGCATATGATGTAAGACTTTAGTCTAAGCCTAATATTTTCCAAAAAACTTTTTTAGTTTTCCTAGTAATACCTATTAAATAAGGAATTCTTTCCTAAGTAATTTATGTTTTCAGATCTGTCAAATATAGAATTATTGAGTTCTCTTGTTTCTGATTCTATTAACTTGCTTTGCTATTCTACCTAATGATTTTGATGACTACTGCTTTATAAAAGTTTGAGTGCTATTCTTAATCCCTACATTTCTTCATTATTTCCTGGATATTCTGTTTTTCCAAATAAATTTTATTATTATTTTTTCAAGTCCTATAAAATATCCCTTTATTAGTTTGATTGGTGTCACATTTGATAGTATTTCTATCTTGACTATATTGGCCTGGTCCATCTGTAAGTACTGAGTATTCCAACTATTAAAATTGTTTTTAAAAATTTCTTTTAGAGAATTTTGTAATTGATTCTAATCTAGTATTAATCTGCTTTAGTAGATTGCTTCTCTCCCCAAATATTTCATGCATTTTGTGGTTTTTGGAATTGGATTTACCTTTATATTATTGACTCTTGATTTTGTTAATATTCTATAGAAATGCTGTTCATTTTTGTGTGTTTCTTATCTAACCCTATGACTTTGCTGGAGCTATTAATTGTCCCATTTAGTTTCTTTGCTGATTTCCTAAGGATTTCCTAAGTAGAGCATCATATGGTCTTTTTTGTCTTGTCACGAATTGCCTATCTTTAAACCTTTAATTTATTTCTCCTTTCTTATTGCTAACGCTTCTAGAACTATATCAAATAATAGTGTAGAAAGTGGTCTTCTTTGATTTTCTGTATTTATAGTGAAAGGTTCTAGGGTAGCCCCATGTATATGATGCTTGTTTTTAGATTTAATTGCATATTTTAATGATATTTAAAAGGTCTCTCTGTGCCATTACTTTGTAAGACTTTTAGCATACACAAGTATTATATTTTGTCAAAGACTTTTCCTGCATCTGTTGATAATAACTTTTGTGATGTTTTTATTTTTAATGTGATTAATTATGCAGCTGTTTTCTGATGTTGAATCCCTGGTATAGATGGAACTTGTTCGTAATGAAAGATTTCTTAGATAAATTGCTATAGTCTGTTTGGCAGGATTTTATTTAAAAGTTTTGAATCAGAGACCAACAAAATGGCAGAGGAGGAAATCCAAATATAGTTC